AGAGAGAGAGAGAGAGAGAGAGAGAGAGAGAGAGAGAGAATGGAGCTCAGAGTTGACCCTGAGGAAAGAAAGTTAGAGAAACAGAGGCAGAATTCCAAAGTCCTTGAGAGGCAGCCACAGAGATGACTGGGTAGGGCCCTGGGGAATGTCATGAGCTAGGACAGTTGAACTTTGCTTAGCCGGCCTAGGGGGACAGTACTTTTCCCACAGTGACCCAGTGTCCACACATAAAGTGCACATATGTGGAAGGAAAGAAATGCAGGATACAGGTGAGGGTAAAGACTAGGGATCTGTGCATGTTTGATTTGCCATTGCTTTTAGGTAGCTTGGAAAGCAATGGGTTTCCTTAAGGCTTTTCTATACGTCACACATTTTTCACTACCCCACCTCCCATCCTCACTCGGGCTTTTAATCCAGTGTTCATACCACATGTGTGGTGTCTGTGGAATTTTATCTGGCCTATAAGGGGCAGGATGGCCCCGATGATATCAGAGACTTAAAGACACATTCAGAAGTGACCTCAGGGTACCTTGTCTCTGTGTCTCTTGTGTCTTGGAGTGAAGGGGTCCTTATGTCCTCCTGTCTGTGTAACTCTGGGTATAGGTCTCATGAATCTATCACTGCGTGTCCCTAATATTCGTGATAATGGCAATACATTTCTGGCAATAGTTTGGAGCAGTCTCTTCCTTTATCTCCAGGTCCCGTCTGTGTTGAGGGTCTCAGGAAAGCCTAGCAGGGCATTGGCTTCATTCTGCCCTCAGAAAACCTTAGAACTAGAAGAGACCTAGGGAATAATTTGGCTCAAAACTCCTCTTTAAGAGCAGAGAAAATACGATGAACATTATGGAAGAGGGGGAAGATTTCAGTAAGGAAAAAGAATCCAGGTCACTGAAAGATCTAGATTAGTACTGTCCAACACCCTGGCCACCAGCCACATATTGTGACAGAGCCCTGGGAAGGTGACCTCTCCAGAAGAGGTGAGCTGTGAGTCCAGACTGGGGGTGAGGGTCATGTTGGGGGAGGGGAATATGCCAGCAACTGTGAGTTGAAATTATACTATTTTAATATATGTTCAGTTACTACCAAGATTCATTTTTTAAGTTTTGAAAATATGACTACCACGCCTAGATTTATGAGTATTCTTGCATATAGTATACACTCACCTGGAGGTCTCCAGGGGGGAAAAAAAAACATCATTTTGTCTCTGGACCTTAACTTCCCAAGACATAAAATGGGTACAATAATGACTGGCTCTTGGGAATGTTGTAAGAATTAACTGAATATATTAACGTGCTTTGAAATACTAAAATAAAGTATTGAATGAGCCACTTGGTGGTAATAGGAGAGGAAGTGTGGTCGAGATGGTGGTGGTGGTGGTGACATTGATAGTGGCAGCCAGGATATGTCAGTGGTGGGGGTGATGGTGTTATTGGGGATGGCACTGGAGATGTGGTGAGTGGCACTGATGGAGGCAGTGGTTGACAGGGTTGGCGGTGACAGCAGTGGTAGGATTGATGACGGCTGCGGGGCAGATGTGGATGGTGGTGTTCTGATGGTGAGCGTGGTCCTTGTGACGGTGATTAACAGTGGTAGGCAAGGCAGTGAAAGTATTGGTGGTGGTGGTTGTAGTCCTGGAGAATACAGCAACTGAAGTGGTAGCTGAGGTCTCAGTGACTCAGACCCTGGGCAAAAGGGAGAAACAGAAACCATGAAGACTTTCTAACAATCTGATGTTCCAGGAAACACTCATAGGGGCCATCCCTGACAGTGGGCACAGCAGACAGACACCACCCACTATGATTTTAGTGCTGGATTGGAACTGACCGCTGTTCCCAGCCCCATAGATCCACTGGAAGCTTTTCAAAAGCCCAAGTCACCATTTTCTCTCTGTGTGTCCAGACCCCTCCCCCGTGACATACCCACAGGCCCCTAATCATCTCCAAACTCTGCCAACACCTGAGGCTGTTTCTTCCAAGGTAGCAGGAAGTCTGTTGCCCCGAGGCAGCCATCCTTACCCAGACCACAGCACCTCAGACAGGACTTCCCAACTCTGCTTTTGCTCTGCTCACTGCCAGAGACCCAGGGGTTCCCAGGGCTCCAGAAAGTGAAAAGGGCCCCAAATTTGTCCTGAAGGGACCAGCTCCCTCCTGGGACCATCCCCCAGAGCAATCACTGTTGCAATGGTGGTCTCGTAACGGTCATTTACAAACCCGGTTAGGCAAGCTGTTTTTGCGTGATGGAGCTATCTTGAGTAAACAGCATCCTATGTCCCCTGCCGGTCACTTGCTCAAGATATTGCTGGACATTGCATTAGAGCCACTGACACACAGAGTTTTGAAAATGAAAACAGGCTCTCTGACTTATGATCAGATAGTGTTTAACTCATTCACGATTGCACCAGGCTTTCCCAAGGCCCCAGGCCACAGAACGAGTATTGCCACAGTGCAGATAGAAGATGCTGGGCATAGTTAGAATCTCAGATCCTCCAAGCCCTAGGAAGATGAGGCTTCCAAAAGCAAAGGGGTCAGATGGGGTTTACATTGCCTTGGCCTCAGTAGCCAAACGTGGTCCCCCCTGGGAGTTTCTAGCCTCTTAGATTGACCTGGGGCACAGATCTAACTCCCCGGGGACTGGGAGATTGCATATCCCTCTTCTGGCTACCTTTCTGGCTGATATAGACTCTGAGTATAAGGAAGGGAAAACTTGAATCCTTTCCCTTTTTTATTATTTGTGTGTGTGTGTGTGTGTTTAAAGCATGGTCTCTCACCGAACCTGGAGCTTACCAAATCTGTTAAACTGGCTAGTCAGTGGGCCCAAGTCATCCTTCTGTCCCAAACTCCCTGACCCTAGAGTTATAAGAGTCTGCATCTGCCTTCCTGTTTGTTTAGCCTGGTTTCTCAGTCCTCAGGATTGTACTGCAAGCACTTAGCCTACTGAGCTGTCTTTCAAGCCCAGCATGGATAAATTCCTGGCATCTATTCCCTTGTAACAAACCTGCACTGTGCTGGCTAAACTGACAAAGATCCACTCATTTCTCACAGTTCTCCTGCTGCCTGTGCTTCAGCTTGCAAACACGTCAGCCTGCGTTTGCCGGCTGGTCAGTTAGAACAGAAGACCAAGATGGGCTCACTCGTGAGCTTGGTGGGTAGTGCCCGGCTGTTGCTCGAGCCTCTTGGTCCTCCTTATAGCCTCTCAGCCCCCACAGTGGTCTCGGGAAACTGGTCCAAACAGTAAAGATGAGAGATCCGTGAAGGATTATGAGCCAAGGTTCAAGAATCGAGGAACAGACTCTGGCTCCTGATAGGAGTTGCTGAGAAATCTGTCTTTCAAGCTACTTCAAGGCATGAGAATCTCAATGAGTCCATGGAAATCTCCCCACAGTTAGAAAATACATTAGGTGTATTTTCCAAAGCAAAAGTCTAGATTCATCGAATGACAAAGGACTTTTTGCTGACTCGCGGACCTGTGTACAGAGGTAGTCTTACAGGCTTCTGTGGAGTTTTGTTTGTATCCACTGCAGTGTTTGGCTGAATTTTTAAGACGTTTTGGGTGAGACTCTGTAAACAGCTTTCCTAAGCACTCACACAAAACCCTGGTTCCATCCCCAGCACTGGAGGCAGGAGGAAGTCACGTGGTCAGGTTACTCTTCTTGTTGCTGTGAACAAATACCTGACAAGAAGTGACTTATTTTGGTTTACAGTTTAAGAGGATAGGGTCTATGATGACAGGGAAGATACAGGGGTATGCACCTGTGTGGTGGCAGGAGCATGGGGTGTCGAGTTCAGTGGACCAGTCAACATAAAGGGTCTGAGGCCAGAAGTGGGGCTAGGCTATGATGCTGAAGGTCTGCCTCTCCCCCTACTTCTTCCAGCTAAACATCACCTCCAAAAGATTCCACGACGTCCCCAAACAATGCTATCTGTAGGGAGTCAAGTGTTCAAATACATGAGCTTATGGAGCATGTTGTATATTCAAACCATAACACTCGGAAAGTATTTTCAAATCTCCAGTCCCTGGCCCCACCCGAGGCCTGTTAGGTAATAGTGAGGTGAGGCAGACAGGAGTGACCTGGGAATCTACACTTCCAATAGCTCTCTCTGGTGATTACAATTCACAGCCAGGGTTAAGGCGTGCAGGCTTAGCAGACAAGACTTAGGGGAAAGAGTTCTAATCCGGGCTATGGAACAAAATGGAACAGACATGAACTTGTCTCCATCCAATCACGGAGCTTCACACTGGGGTCTAGAGGTCAAGAAGTTAAAGGCCCCTCCCCATATTATTGGCAGTGCTCTGTGTGCCGAGTGGTATTCGATTGAGTTTTCAGCAGAATATGTTTACCTTTCAGAGCCCCATGAAGTGAATGCTGTCATAAGTCCCATTTTATAAGTAGGCAAAGTAAGTTTGAGAGGTTCACTGTTTGTCCAAAGTCACCTAGCCAATAAAGACAGAATTGGAATTCAATCCCAGGCTACCTAACTTTAGAGGCTATGTCCTTACCAATTAGACCAGGTGCCTCAACTGCTCGGTCAGAGGTCACCCTCCTGAGGGCCACCACTGCCCAGAAAAGTGCCAGGCAGTATTCTCTGGCTCATTAGCGAGTCCTAAGCTGGTCTCTCTCAACTCAGGTGTTTATGTTTCAAAGCACTTGGGCAGATATTTTTAAACAGGGATGCTCTGTCTTCTAGAGATTGTATGTACTTCTTCAAGTAGGGTCCAGTCACAGAAGTATTCTAAAGACGTCCAAATAATCCCAGTGTATACCACCCAGAGTTCAGAAAGATGACATGACATGTTTGTCCTCATATGTGGGATCTAGTTGGGGGGAGTTCCTAAAGATGGACAGAAATACACACACACACACTGTTGGCAGAGAATGGTAGCCCCAGCATTGAGGGCACCTATGACCATCATATCCCATAAACTTCCCAAAACAAAACAAAACAAAACAAAAAGCTAAAGCCTCAAGGAACCAGGCTTGGCAGCACATGCCAGCACTTGGGAGGCAAAGGTAGAAAGATTAAGAATTTAAGGTCATCTTCAGCTACATAGCAAATTGTGATCAACCTGGGTTACATATGATTCCCACTGAAAGAGAAGGAAAAGGAGAAAAAGGAAGAGGAGGAGGAGGAAGAAGAAGAAGAGGAGGAAGAGGAGGAGGGGGGAGGAGAATGAACTTTAGATCCTTAGGGATACTTTATCCCTCAACACTGCCAAAATGCTAGCCATATTAGACAGCCAGTTAATAATCCCAATGGTGTGGCTCAGGGCCTCCAGTTGAGTCAGGGTGGGCTGAGCCTTTTCACCAGTGACTCTTACACCATTCTACCAGTGTGCCCTGCATTGGAGTTGCTGATCTGCCCTAGAATCTCAGTTTTTAGATTATGAAAATAAGACTTGTCAAAGAGAAGTAACTTGCTCCAAAGTCAGTCAGCATGCTTGTTCCAGAGGTAAAGCTATAGTCTAAAGCTCCTGGCTACTGCTGTTCTTATCCTGTAGATTCCTGTGCCTTGAAAAATTATTTGAAATGTTACCTGACTGGTCTGTGTCCGCCATGGTGTGCAGTTTCACTCACACAGCAGATGAGACTAGAACCCAAGGGAGAGTGACTTGGCCAGGCCACAGAGCAGCAGAGGTTTGCAGGACCTCAGGCTCCTAACTGGAGGTCGGGGACTCAATGTCACTCCTGCCTTGCTCGGTCCCTTTCCCAGCACCGTATCTGAATAGCACCACCCAGGGAAGCTATAAAGAAAAACGATTAGAGAATGCAGTGGAATCTGGTACGGATGTAGGGAAGAGGACCCTTATACAATGCTGTTGGGGATGCATCAGACTTCCTCACAAAACCACCATATGACCCAGCTGCACCACCCTTGGTGAAAACTGGAAGCATTCCCAAATCAATATATCATAGACATGTTCTCAACCCACATGTTCGTCACGGCACCAGTCACGATGGCCAAGTTATAGAAGCAGCCCATCAACAGACAAATAGATAAAGGAGTGAAAGCATGCCGGATATGCACAATGGATTATTCAAGGAAAAAATAAGATTGAGCCTTTTTTTTTTGAAAATGGATAGAACTGAAGATCATCATGTTAAGTGCAATAAAGCCAAAATCAGAAAGACGTGTGTGACATACGTGCTCTTGTATACAGGATCTGGGAGACAGTCGTAGGGAAACAATACAAAAGTTGGTATTTCAGGGAAGAGAAGAAGAGAGGGGAAACCTGATCTAAGAACATTGCATGAGTGTTACAATGAAAACAATGATTTTTTTCAATTAGTATGCAGCAATAAACATGTTAAAAGACTAGGGGTCAATTTGGCTCATGGCACTAGATACTAAAAAGCCCAGAGCACAGAATGACATAGCAAAGCAAAAGGGGTTACATCAGCAGTTCTCAACCTGTGGGTCATGATAGTGACATTACAATTATTTAAGAGTAACAAAACTACACTTCTGAAGTAGCAACAAAGTAACTTTATGGTTGGGAATAAGGGGTCTCCAAAACATAAGGAACTGCATTAGGAAGGTTGAAAATCATGAGGTGAAACAGATCAAGCACTCTAGACATCTCATTCTTATAACAAAGCAACTGCTACAGTGAATATTAGTCAGGTCTGGCTATGCCCTCATGACCAAGTCACTACCCAAAGGTACTAACTCTCAACCATCATCCACATAGGACTTTAGAGAGTAGCTTTCAACACATGAAATTCAAAGGGTTCCCATATACCAGAGCACCCACCAATACCTATGGCTACTTATACGCTTGCCAGGTTCCAGTGTGGGGCTGTTAGCTCTCGCGTGGGCAGGCGTGGGTCCTGTTGGGCTGTTGTGGTTCCCGCCTGTCTGCCACCCCAGGCAGCTGGAACCACGGCTTTGGGGAGCAGAAGCACGGGAATTTGATTGAGTTCACTCCACGCAGACTCTGCGGGGCTCCATCTGGGCGAGAAGAGGTCTCAGCCTGAAGTCCCGCGGGGGCAGGGCTCCTGAGTGGAGTTCTCCGGGCCGATGTGGCTGACCCAGGAGACTGCTGATCTCTATCTTTGGGTGGGCCTTTTCAGAGCTTTCACATGAGGAGCTTAAGGCGTCGATGCCCACTCAAACAAGCTGGACAGTGATCTCAGAGCTGATAGGTACGTAGTACACTGAAAATTTCACCCCATGAGAATCCCTTACCTGCTGTGCTGAGCACCTTAGGCCTTCCTGTTTACATAAAGTCACTCTTGGTGTTTCCAGCACTATGTCAATGGTGCCTCCATTTTACCAATGGGCACACTAAAGCTCAGAGAACTTAAAGACTAAAGAAGAGCCCAAAACCAGTGTTTGGACAGGATCCAGCGCTCATTCCACCTGGATGCCTGGAGCCTTGGTCCCACCTGCTTGGATGAAACTCTCCATTTAACTGTTAGCCAGCAGAGCTTATAAACAGGTTCTGTGTTTGAGCACGCACAAGCCAGTAGACCATATATGGGCTCTTGTTACATGCTCCGGAAGGACAATATTCCCCAATGTGGTAGATTTAGAAGACATACCTTATGTCTGACTTTGCAGATATCCTAAGACAGAAGGTAACTTCTCTCTGCCTTCTTTCTTCCTGTCTGAACATCTGAGCCAGGTGGAGATTAAAATCCTGCTATCCAGCTGTGGTAGCCTGCACAAAATTGAACCAGTAAATATTCCAGCATAGAGGGAGAAGGCACTCACCAGTCTCAATCTCTTGCTGAGGAGCTATTAGCAATTTGATGGCTTTTAGGAAAGGGAGAGTCATTAGTCTTTAAGGATGTGACTTCAGGTGAACATGGCCTCATGACCATAAGTATATGAGAAACACAAACTGGACTGAGTAGGTTAAAAAATATAAAAAGACAAAATTGGGAGGAAGAAGACGGTTGAAAGATGGATCTAAGAGGAGTTAGAGAGAAGAGTGGGGAATATTATCAAAATATGTTGTGTGCATGCAGGCAATTCTTTAAGAATAAAAATCCTCTGTCTCCCTATCCATCCACACATCCTGACATGCCAGACACAGAGAGCTGGGCCACAAATAGACACTCACTAAAATTCAGTCAGTCAATTCAGTGACCCCAAAGCCCTAGTAGAAGAGCTCAGCTATGATCTAACTTTAGAGATTAGGAGACAAAATACAGAAGTTAACTCAGGATCAAAGGAGTAGCAAGAGGCAGATCAGGAATTTGAACCAAAGCCACAGGGCTACAAAACCTTGGGGTTTGGTTGGTTGGTTGGTTATTTGTGTGTGTGTGTGTGTGTGTGTGTGTGTGTGTGTGTGTGTATACTTGGGTTTCCATATACCACATGTGTACAATGTCCACCGAGACCAGAAGATAACATCAGATCCCCTGGAACTAGTAATAGATGGCTGTCAGCTACCGTATTGGTGGCAGAAACCAAAGCTGAATTCTCTACAAGAGCAACAAGTGATCTCAACCAGTGAGCCATCTCTCCAGCCCCTGGATTCTTGTTTCTGACCACTGTGGTTTCCCAAACAATGCCTATGTGGATTTCTGTTAACCAAGCCCATCAGCCTGGAACTATTCCAAACATGATACAAAGAGACATCTCACACACCAATGGCTTTGCAATCCACGTAAAGACCATGTGAATGGAAACCATTTTCTGGAATAGAAATTGCAATACTCATGAGTCTACACAGACACCCACTGCAGGACCTTTCAGGAAGCCTGTGGGAGATGTTCGGCAGACTCTCCAGAAAAGCTTAGCTTCAGTGATGGGTATTCTTCTGATCTCACCACTTCTGAGGATAGAATAACTGTCTTGAGTATCTGTACACCAGGCCCCAGCTTCTAGGCTACAATACCAGGTGCCTCAACAAGTAGCCCCATGCCTGGTGCTGCAGCCCCCTGGCTCCCGTGTATGGCAGTCGCCTCTCACATTGACTGTTGAGAGCAAAGTATACATGGCCATTCCAACTCTGCAGGATTTGGCAGTGCATTATGAACTAGAGAGAACCTCAGACTTAGGAAAGATGTTCATGGTCTGTGCCTTTTGCCACTGTGCTCAACAAAACATAAGAACTTGGACCAGTGAGATAGCTTAGCACATACAGACGCTTTGAGCCAAGCCTGATGACCTTATTTCGTTCATTCAGTTCACAAGATTCACACAATGGAAGGAGAAAACTGACTCCCTCAACTTGTCCCTTGACCTTAATGTGTGTTTTGCACCACAATGCACATGTGCACAGACACCAAAAACAAATACAACTTTAAATCTATTTTTAATGGCAGAACTTGCTTCTGCCTGTCCATCATACCATTGGATTCCTTCCAAGGCTCTTTAAGGGAGATTCAGCAGGAATTCCAGAAAACAAAGGTGCAGGTCATGTGATGAGTGGGCCAGCCAGGCCAGGCCTCTTACCTTCAGAGAGGATGTGCTTCCACCTCCAGCTTCCACCCTTTGTCCTGGTCTTTTGCCTGACATCTCTGCATCTTTGTTCCAGGAAGGGAAGGACAGACACATCTCTACTTTCTGAAGCTCATTCAGTGAGGACTCCTGGGGTCACCAGGGGGCCTATCTTGTACAAATAGAAAAGGCCAAGACTTGGCCAGTGGCTATGCTAAAGGCTGAGAGCTAGGATGTCCAGAAGCCAGTTCCAGCCTGCTAGGTGAATGATGGGACCTGCTGCCGCAGCAGGGACACATGAGGTTGTATTCTGCGAGAGCCAGGGTTCCAGAGCATCTGGAAGGTTGTCCCCAAGGTAGGTGTTATCAAGGCACCAGGCATTGTTCTAAGGGCCTAAGGGCTGTGGTCTTGAACCTGGGCTGAGGGCTGCAAGCACTCTGATCGTTGTCCCAGGAAGAGATGGAATCTGAGGAGCACTGCTTACCAAAATCCAGCAGGTGCTTGGCTGTTTTCTGGGATCCCACCATAGTCCCCAAGATCCTGGGCCCTGCCCCCTCCATCCTTTCCCAATCCTCATTTTGCAATCAGTTAGCCTGACCCAGTAAACATCTGCAGCCTGAGGAAAGCCCATCATACTCACCCTTTCCCATGTGTTTCAAAAAAGAGCCTGGGGCAGTGGGCGAGGGGTCTAGCCATCACATGAGTTCTGGCAACAGCTTGAGCCTGTCATCCTGACTCAGCTTCCAGACCAGCCAACCTAGCTGAGGAAAAGACACTCACTGGGGAATAAGCTAGAAAGCGCTTTGCTGTCCAAAGTTTATAGGTGGAGAGAGGCAGGTGGAAGGAGAGGCTGTGGGTCAGAGTTCAGGGAAATATTTCTATCTGGCTTCATCTTCTCAGTTCACTGTGCAACCTAACATGTGTCATGAAACCTCTCTGAATGGTTTTTCAGATTCCTATTCTCTGGCCTTTGTCTCTTGAGTGCTGGAATTGTGGGTACATACCACCATGATCAGAGGATAGTTTCCAATGTTCTAAAAGGTCTATGTGCTGGAGGCTCAGTCCTCAACCTATGGCAGTATTGGGAACTAGTACAATCCTTAGTAGGAGAAAGTTAGGTCATTGGAAGTGTGCTCCTGAGAGAAATATTGACCTATCTCTCTGCCATAAGGTAAACAGCTATGGTATATCACACTGTCCACAAAGTAAACAGCTATGGTATATCACACTGTCCACAAGGTAAACAGCTATGGTATATCACACTGTCCATAAGGTAAACAGCTATGGTATATCACACTGTCCATAAGATAAACAGCTAAGGTATATCACACTGTCCCATCATGATGCTCTTCTGCCCACATAAGGTAATTATAAACTGAGACCTCTGAAACTGGATCTCTGAGACTACCCTCCCTTCCTTTTTTTTGTTTTTCTTTTTCAAGACAGGGTTTCCCTGTGTAGCCCTGGCTGTCCTGGAACTCACTCTGTAGACCAGGCTGGCCTCGAACTCAGAAACCCGCCTGCCTCTGCCTCCCAGGTGCTGGGATTAAAGGCGTGTGCCACCACTGCCTGGCCCTCCCTTCCTTTTAAGTTGATTCTTTCAACTATTTTGTCACAGTAACAGAAAACTGACTAATCCAGGTATCAACCCACTCTTGTTTGGCTGTGAGAGCGAAGTCTATTTCTAGAATGCCTTGATGCTGATCTATTTCCTGTCTGTCATAAGGAACTTTACAATATATATTTTAGTACTCCTCTCTCTAAAACATCACTGAAGTGGATGGGTTTTGGTTTTGTTGTTGTTTTAAGCATCAGTTGTATTACAAAAGTAAAGGATGTTGTCTATAAAATTTTGACCAGGCAGTGAATACAGTGCACAGCCGGGGCCGGTGGAGCACCATTCCATCCCCTGAACACAACAATGGAAGCAGTAAGAGGTATGATGTGCGAAGCAGGTCCACAAGGAGCTTCACACGTGCCTCCTGCCGTGATCCCTTCTGCCTGGCACCACACTAACATCTCCCTTGCTGGGAAGCTCAAAGTGGAACAGGAGGGTTTCTGCAGGCTCTTCAGAGAAGCCATGGTCTTCATGCTATAGCCTCTAACATCCAACGGCATCACATAATTCATGGAATAGGGAGACTTCAATGACAGTTCACTAGACAAGAACCAAGCGTCTAATGTCCTAGTCCTACTTCCATGAAACCTGAGTGGGCGAGTGTCAAAGTCTGGCAGCTTCTGATGCCGTCACTGTTTATGGCAGTCTGTGCCATTCATGAAGAACTAGGGTTCCAGCAGCCGCATTTTCAGAGCTTGGTCCTGGCATCTGTTTGGCTTCTGATGAGGGCCTTCCTGCTGTATCACAACACACCCAAGGGCGTTGTCTAGTAAGATGGAACAAACTGGCTCTTGGAGATGGATTTTAAGCATTTTATTCTACCAGAAAGAGAGGTATATTGTATGTCTCTGTGTAGATGGGTACATTCATGTGTGCAGTTGTGAATGTAGGCCAGAGGTCAACATCTGATAGCTTCCTCAATCACTCCCCATCTTATCTTTTGAGGCAGAACTGAACCCGAAGCTCGCCACTTCAGTGAGACTGGCTGGTTGGTGTTTCAGGATCCTCCCAGTGCTTCGGTTCCAGACATTCACTGCACCTGGCTTTTAAGTGATGGCTGGAGATCCGAACTCAGCTCCTCATGCTTACACAACAGGCACTTTAGAGACTGAACCACCTCCCTCCACAACCCAATAGTAAACTTTATAACATTTCCACCCCCAATAATCCATTAATCCCTTAATCCTCACATGAATTAATCTGTTAAACCATTAATCCATGAATGAATGAGTTCATTCACCAAAGCAGAGCCTTACTACCCAATCTTTTTACACATACACCACCTCTCAGCACCAATGCATTTGGAGCCAAATTTCCAACACATACGAATGGGAGGGGCATCCCACATTCAAACCCTAGCAGTGTCCTCAGGACAGATCCTGAATCTTTCATGTCCTGTGGCATTCACTTATCCTGACCCCTCTTCTCAGAGACTTTGGTGTATTCACATGGCATTAGACTGCCAAAGCTGAGGTCCCCATAAGGAGGTTTACTTCTTTACATCAGCACCTGAAAACGGGGTGTGCACTGGTACTACCTCATAGGGACAATGGAAAGTTGAAAGAGTCAATGTGAGAATCCTAACAGTGACTTCACTCTAAATCACCTGACGAGTTTGTGAATCATCTCACT